ACATTACAAAAAAGAATATAAGTTTAATAAAAAATATATATACAGATATATTATTACATATTTAACGTTGAATTATAATTTGAATAATTGAAACAATGAGGAATGTATTAAAATCCGAATGGAAAGAATAATATACGCAGGTGTATAAAAAGGGAACATCGATTAATAACTGACCCTTCGATCGTACATGCATTAGTTTTCATTGTGATCATCGGTAGTTGCATCCCTCTCACGATTTATTTTCAGCTCTGTTTCAAGCGAAAGTATACGATGTTGTTTAAAGCAGATAGTACTGTGTTTCTTGTTTAAATAATCATAATGGTTATGTGACTAAAAAACTATATATATATATATATATATATATATATGCATAAACATATGTTTGTATATGTAATTGTAAGTTGAATATTAAAAGAAGAAAATACCAATTGAATTATGTTTGAAATGATTATAATGTCTTCAAAATATATAACTATTATATATTCATCATATTTTTTAACATCAAGTAAATACTATGTTATGGAGAGTTATGGCAAGTATAGGATAGAATATTGCACGTTTTACAAGATCGATATTTGTCGATTGATGTGAAATTGCTTAGATTAGATAGCATTTACTAAATCTATCTTTATCTCTTCTTTTTTTTTTTTTTGTTTTATATATATCAAATTAAATATACCCCAAAAAAGTATGTATCTAATAATACAAGTATGCTAAATGTATTATCAGTTCTAGTATAATATATATGGAATTGTAAAGGAAATAAAATAGGTGTAATACATCATTGATTTTATTTTTATATATTACTTTTTGTTAGATAGAATTAGGTGCATTTCAATAATATGCATTATTTATTAAAAGTATTCTAACATTATTATCAATCTAACTATATCTGAAATTATTGAATAATAATTATATAAGGAATAAAATAGGTAATACATCATTGAATTTATATTTATATATTTTTAGTTGTTGATAAATTGAATTAAGTGTACTCTTATAGTATGCACTATTTATTAAAAGTATTCTAACATTATTATCAATCTAACTATATCTGAAATTATTGGATAATAATTACGTAAGGAATAAAATAGGTGTAATACATCATTGAATTTATTTTTATATATTATTTTTTATTAAATAGAATTAGGTGCATTTCAATAATATGCATTATTTATTAAAAGTATTCTAACATTATTATCAATCTAATTATATTTGAAATTATTGGTTAATAATTATGTAAGGAATAAAATAAGTAATACATCATTGAATTTATTTTTATATATTACTTTTTGTTAAATAGAATTAGGTGCATTTTTCAATAATATGCATTATTTATTAAAAGTATCCTAAAACTATTATCAATCTAACTATATCTGAAATTATTGG